ATCTATCTATCTATCTATCTATCTATCTATCTATCTATCTATCTATCCCGGTCAATAGAGATCCTAACATATAAAAAACCTGAAATGTAATCATTATGCAATAGTAACAATGCTAATTACTATTATTAGTAGTAATATTATCAGAAAACATTATATAGCAGAATCATATCTGATCTGTGCTAGGAAGCTGTTCTCATATAATGATAGCAAAAATCAGAAGCAAACCATAAAGTATTGAAACTGTGAACCCTATTATAAGATTTTAGTTCAAATAACACTAGTGTTTATCATTTGCCAAATATCATTGAATTAATCCAATGTTTTCTTTGGACACGGATGCAAAACAGGAAAAAAAAACCCAGACAAGTTGCACTATATGGCCTGACTGTTATTTTGACTCCCAAGGCAGAAAATCTTACAAATGTTGCCTTCCTTTCTATCATTAAAACATAGCATGTTAAATAATTATTTGTTGCTCTTCCTAATAGCAAAAACCAGCTATCTGAAATGATCACCTCACTTTTAACATGTTTTGACAAATCTTGTTATGTGTAAAATAATTAAAAACAGAGCCTGTGAACTTGGTGGCGCAGTGGTTAGAATGCAGTACTGCGGGCCACTTTTGCTGACTACTGGCTGCCTGCAATTTGGTAGTTCGAATCTCACCAGGCTCAAGGTGGACTCAGTCTTTCATCCTTCAGAGGTTGGTAAAATGAGGGCCCAGATTATTGAGAGCAATTTGCTGACTCTGTAAAATGCTTAAAGAGGGCTATAAAGCACTGTGAAGCATATGTAAGTCTAAGTGCTATTGCTTGGAGCCACACTAGATGAAACAACTGCACAGCCAGAAAGCATCCTCTGGGAGACTTCATTGGATTGCATTAAGGCTTGTACTTTTATGCATCCAGATATTCGTGGTATCTGTTCAAGATCATTGTTCTTTCCAGATATTCTGGCAGGTGAAATACAATTGACAGTGTCTTTAATGTATAGAAAGCCCCAATCTCATGGGTTCTTGTCCATTTCAGACTGAATGCAGCAGTCCCTTGTGGTCCAGAAGGAACAGCACTTATAGCAAGAGTTACTGCTCTGATCTCCAAAATGGTAAGGCTCACAGATCTTCACACACCAAGGATGGCATTAAGAGCATAAAAATGGTGGTACTCAACTGAATAGAATAATCCAGTAGCTGCTCTGGTACTATCTGGCAGCACATGGTAGATTTTGAAAAGAGAAATTCAGTCACCTCAGATTCGAATGTCTGTTAGCTATCTTTCTCTTGAAAAGTGTACAGAGTAGAATACACAAATAATATACAATATTTTATGCAGCTATAATTTCTGAGATCAAGTCCCATAAACAAAAATAGAAGGGACTGAGTATGCTTAGGTGTGAGAAGAAATAATTAAATGATAGCTATTTTCAAATATATGAAATGTTGACACATTAGGTTAGGTTTTTCTGCTTTCTAAAGCGTATTTTACAGAATTCCTAATCAGTTGCTGACCCTTCTGACTAATTGTTCCTAGACCTGTAATACAAAACTTTGGAGGATGTTGGAAAAACTGCTCCAGAGGACAGGCCTGACCAATGGCTTCACATAACAAACAGAATATTCTTTCCTAAACATTCGTCAAATTTGCTCCAATAATCCTTGGATCTTGTAATGTCAACCATCAAAGTAATTCTAGGCAGTTGAATTGAAATGATTGGAAAGGATGTGCTTCCATGCATTCGCAAAAGCTGACAAATAGCTTGAAGGAGAGATATAATGAATTATCCTTTATTAACAGAGATGGCATACTTAAAGGAACACCTGCAATGGCTGGCTGAGATCAACTCATGAAGTAGCATCAAACTTTGATTCTGTATCTCTTTCCACTAAGCGTTATTTTGTCTTTCCCTCTCAGCCTACCCCTCAGAAGCAAGCGCTACCCTCTCCAGCCTGGACTGCTTATCCAACATAGTGGATAGAATCTCTTCTTCTGATCAGGAAGAGCTCTTCCCTCAGGACGCTGCTCCCTTTTCTCCTATTGCCAGCCCTGAATCCCAGCCAGCCTCTCCTGAGGCCCCTCATTCCAACCTCATCTATCATGTACTTTGAACTGCCTGAGATGTGACACCAGCCGGGCCAATGATTGGGTGCTTCTGAGAATTCCCAGCATCAACAAAGACATGCTCTGTTGAAATATGAAGCTCTTGGAATTCTGGTGGACCAAAAATATGCATACAAAGAAAAAAAAGTCACTTTATTTTGTCCTAGCTTCCCTTTTTAGAAAGCAAATGACATATTTAATCAAGCTACTTTTTAATACTATGTACTCTAATTATATGCTGACCTTTAAATTGTATGACATCACTATCTTATCATAAAGAATAGAAGCCAAATGTGTGGATGTAGATCCACGTTTTGAATTGCTATAAGAAAATACAGGATTAGTTAAATTATATTTCATCAAAGTACTTTTAATAATAAAAATACATTAGCTACATGATCTCTTATTTTTATCCATAATATTATAACATGGTAATATCTAAAAAATAATCACCCAGGATCAATTCTACAACTAGCTAGGTCAAAGCAGTGTAGCTCAAAAGGCAGGTGTTTGGCTTAGCCATGGTGTTATGCTATCTCTGTTTATTTTGATGTTTATTTTACCACTAGGGGGAGACATTTATATTTTCTTAGATAAACCTTGATTCAGGTTTCTGATTACTACTACCACTTTAGACCTACAGTATTGACAAAGATGTGTGGAATGCAATAACATCTTATCCTGTTTCTGTTAGTCTCTTTTTCTCCTGCAGCCAGGGTCTCTCAGCCACTATTAAGCATTAAGTTGCTTTGGTGAGCCTCTGTCATTCTAAATTTAGGAAATCAAAGGGGAAGGCAGTAAAGTTCTGGTTTTATTTGTATAGTTATGTTTTTGATAAGAGCAATAAAAAAGTTCACTATTTTTATGTAGAATTCTATTCTATTCTATTCTATTCTATTCTATTCTATTCTATTCTAT